GAAGAGATCTCTAGATCGGGCCCTTCTATTCGCTTCGTATAAAGTACTTTTCAGTGTCTTTGATATTTCTACGGTCCATCTCCTGCATGGTTGACCTCTAGCTCTGTTACCATTGTATCTGTATAACATTTCTTTCTGTGGGGCCCTGTCTGATGCATATCTTGCTACATGGCTAAAACCATTTGATTTGTTGTCTGCCCCTATAAAGTTCAGTACTGGTTCTATTCTGACTCTCCTCCTGATATCACCGTTCCTAAGTTGATCTTTCCTCGTTACACCTAGCATTGTATGCAAACATTTTATTTCTGTCCTGACTATTTTCCAATCTGTCTTCTGAAGACAGTGTCCATGTATGACACTGATAGCAGAGCTGTTGAACAGTGTTCTTTTAGTGTTTATATTCACATGCTTGCATTTCAAAACTGGTGCCATTTGGCCTAAAGCTTGATTAGCTTTATTGCATCTTTGTTGGATTTCTTTATTAATTCTTCCATCCTCTAAAAAAATCCTCCCCAAATATGTAAAATCCTTCACCTGCTTGGTGTTCATCAATTTTGATATTGGTGGTTCTTCCTTTTCTGGAGAATTTCGTCACTTCTGTTTTTTCTGCGTTGATCTTCATATCATAGTTGTCGTATTCTGAGTGGAGTCTGTTAATATGTTCTTGTAGTTTGACTGCTGTTGGTGCTATGATTGCCTGGTCATCGGCGAAAAACAATTCATTTAGAAATTCTCGAATGTTGTCCCCTTCATTGATGTTGGCTGATTTGCAAATGTGGTCGACGTATGCGATGAACAGTACTGGTGACAGAACGCACCCCTGTCTCACTCCAGATCTAATGTAGAACTTTTCTGATTTTCCTGTTTTTGTTCTAAATGTGCATTGACTGTTCACATAATTAGGAATGACTGCAGTCAAACTAATATGAATATTTTACTATGGTAAAAGGCTGTCGATAATCTCTTCTTGTCTTTATTTATCTCTAAGTAAATCATTCCAGCTATTATTTGTTCAAGTTTGTTCTTTTATGATGTGGCCAACAAATTACAATGACCTCTTTTTTTATATTTGTGATAAATATTTGTGCCTCTTTAAGCTTCTTTTAAAACATCTTGATTACTCATTTTGGCTTTTCAATGAATTGTAACCTTTCTTCTGTAGAAGCACAACTCTGAGGCCCCAAAGAAATTTTGTTGTTGATTGTCCATGTTTCTTTACTTTAAATGTAATAAATTTTTTTTACTTTTTTATATTTGATGGCGTCTGTGGCTTAGACGTTGCGAGTCCGACTCCTAATTCCAACGTACCGTGATCGAAACCCACTGCTGGCTGCAAGGCTTTTTATCATGGTACGGGGCGTCGCGGGTCGACCAAGCCTAAAATGGGTATCAGGATGTTTGTCCTGGGGAAGTAAAGACAGCCAGTATAATGCTGACCACATTACTTACCTAGTACCGATTGGTCTGTAAAAATATGGGCGCTCTTCCCGTATGCCCGATGCGCCTAAAGGTGTAAAAATGGATCTTTACTTTACAAACTTTTATTTTATATATAAAAAAAAACTTCAAAATGAATTTAAAATAATAATTTAAAAAAAAAACACATACCTGATTCCACTTCCATTTGATTTGTCCTTAGCACTGAAGACATATTCTGAATGTCGGCACACAGTACTCAGGGCATAGATCAGAAATATGGCATTGACCTGTGTACAACCATCAGTGAAGGTGAGAATACAAATACATGTTTAAATGGTTATAGATTCTTACAGAAAATACTCAGCAAGAGAGAAAGTGAACAGAAAAAAATGGCAGGTGGAAAGCTTAACTCTTTCAGTAACAAGTACTTGTCATTTGAATTCTTTAGATTGAAAAAGATTGTCTACTACTTTATTGTAAGTATCCTTGAGTGTTTATGATTCCAAATCAAAGGATAAAGATTTGTAAGCAGCAATAGAATGGAATGAGTTAACATAACAAGAGTTGAACGTTAGAAATTAAGAATGATATAATTTTTGTTTTCATTCAAGGAAATAAACTGTAGTGTAAAGTCCTATGCTGTTCATCCATTTCTAGACTTTGGTCATGTTCTAGGACTAGAGTATTGCATGCAGATCCATTTTTTTAGGTCTGGCTTATTTATGTGCAAACTGTTGGCTGCTTGCTCCTAAGGCAGTTGTACTTGAATGTCAACAGAAATGCCAATCCTATCTATTATGTTGGCCATGTTGGCTATGTTGGCCATGCCCCCCACTTGGGAACCTGTTTCAAGGATGACCATGTAAAGGTGCAGATAGTTCTTTAACAGTGTGCCCCAAGTCTTGATGAACCACCACTTGTGGTTCAGCACCGATGCATCCCCAAAAATGTACAATGTATGGAGTAATCAAACAACATTGCTTGGTACTGAAAGAGCGAAATGCAGAAAGAGAAAATGGCGAGTGGCTTGTTGCCAGAGAACTAGTGGTGCCTTATGTTATTAATTGCGTGTGCAACTACTGATCTGTAGTAACTGCTGCCTCCATCGACAATGAACTGCATTTCTAAAGCTGGATTGCTGGAGTTGGCACTTCTAACAGTTGACTAGTGCTTTTAATGCATGTGAATGCTGTTGGCTTGGCTGAGACTGCAGTCTGTGTCAGTTTTTTCTTAATAATGGATAGTGGCCATTTTGTGTCAGTTTCATTGGCACAGAAATGGAGCTACTACGGGGAGGGAAGGGGGTGGTGGGGGGGGGGAGGGGGGTGTGGGTGGGGATGATGGGATCGTTTTATATGACCATATCTCGTTGGCTTCAAGGTTTCTTGAATTCCTAGGGATCCCTAGGACTTCATTGCCTATCAAAAGCATCACACAAAAGACAGACTCCTGTCTAATAAAAAAAATGTGCTTTCATAAACTGAATAATGCAGTCTCTGAAATGAATCACTGACATTCAAAGTGCAAGACAAACAGCTTAACTGCTTAGCCATTGAGACCCCCATAATAAATATAATCAACACCAACTTCATCAAAATATCAGATGACAGAGAAGAGTGGACAGCCAATAATGCTGACATCTGTCCCATACTAGGCACCTGACAAGCAGGAAGAATGCAAATGCTTTCACAACACTTTTAAAAACTGATGTCAGATAACTGATTAAACAACTCCCTGTTTGGGTTTTGGAGCGTCCCAGGATGAGAGGGTTAATTAAACCTAAACACTTACCAAGAGAACTGCAGCAACAGGTCCAGCAAAAGCCCAGATAAAATAGTCATCTGTGGTCAGCCAACAGCTGAAAAGGTTTAATTAATTGTTATCACTTTTTTATCCTGTTGATGAAAACTCTGTAGTATCCCTGTCATGTGATACAGTGAAATATGGTCTTTTTTTTAAATTATCTACATTCACTGTTTTGAGGATCAGTATCTTTTTTATCTTCTGTGTTATGCCCTTTCCCAACCTGGCTTTTATTTGTGCCTGTCAGCTGACACATCCGACTTCTGCAGGTATTTGTTGCTCATGTTAGCCTTCCTGGGAGAATGTGTATGATAAATAAACTAAATTTAAAAAAAAATCTAAACTGCCTACATTTACCAATTTTTTTAAGGATAAGTAAGGCAGGAAAGTCAGAAGATTTAAGGCTGAAGGGCTAGTGACGTCACCATGTACTGTACAGGTTGTAGGATGTTTATTTTTGCCTCCAACAGAAAACAAACACCTTCCATCATCTCACCGAGGATTCGAACCTGGGTCTTCTGCATGAGAACCCGGCATTTCAACCGCCGGGTGAGCCACTCCTCAAATATACTGAAAATAATAAGTACAATTTTTCCTCTGGTTTATTTCTTCTGGTTACAATTATGGATATCCTCTCCGTGTGTGGGGCCTATGATTCCATTTTGGGGGTGGGTATAAAACTGAGACCTACTGTCTCCCTAAGAAATCATCTAATCCAATTATTTCAGGGTTTGCTGAAATCAGATGAGTGGGCCTGAAGGCCCAGATACTGCAGCCTTGCTGTAAGCTACAAGACATCATGACAACAGCCTTTTAAGAGCGAGCGCAGAAGATGAAGAAGAATGGACATCTCCATGTGCTTCAGCTCCCTCCCATAGATCACATAAGAAGGAAGGGTTTCATCATAGAGAATTAACTCCACAACAGGGCTTTTAACTGGCATCCTGCATACCAAATCTGGCCAACGTGTTGAATTAAGAATCAACATGATAGCATTTGGGACACTGCCATAAGGGCTACATCCCTATCTCCAGCAGCAAGCGAAAAGTTATAATTCTGATGACACTAGTAACTGTCTGAATGTATATCCGTCTTACCTTTCTCTTGAGTACTGAGCATTTGCCAGATCCCCTGGTAACTCCTCGCAGCACCATTCTCCTCACACCATAATGATCTATTAGTTCTTCTACACTGTTCCCTTGCTCCCAAATGGCCCTCACATCTAGCTTGTCATACATCATTATCCTTTTTCTCATAATTTTTTTCTTCAGCTTTACACCTACAGATTTTTAATGCAAATTCCAGTCACCCAGTTCAACTATTTAGCCATGTGGCACAGTTATACAGGGGAACCTCTCAATCGTTAACAGGCAGCTCTAGTCCAATGTGGGTGGGGTTTGATGAGGTTGTAAACATCCTTATGGTCCACACTGCAAATGAAACCAAGTCGACGAGTTAGAGATGGACTTCGTGCCTGTGAATCAATCCTCCTTTTAATTTTCCACTTAAATGCATGAAATAAAGGTGAGAAAATCAACTTCCTTGCACTGAATTTTATCTATATGGATCTGCTCTCTTTGCAGAATGGCTCTTCGCCTGCCAAGAGTGTTGTCCAAAGCATAAAACTTTGCATCTCCAGCGACATCCTATTGGGATCTCTAGACTCACGAACAACAGGAATTAAGTACTTAAATACACCCGAAAACAGAACAGGAATTGTTTCTTGGTCTGCACTGAAACAACAAGGGACCACAAAGAAAACCAAATACATAACTTACTATTTGTCAGTTCCATAACCTTTGTAGTTAATCAAAGCTGATGTCCCAACCACAGCAAGTGGTACACCTGAGAATACAAGTAGAAATACAGCAATTAAAAAAAATAATAATAAATGGTTTGCTCGAGTGGCAAATAAAATTGTCCAGAGATCAAATACCCTGTGAATTCAAAACACAAATATAGTGGGGAGACAAAACGTGTTCTCAGGTCTTCATGCTGTAAACACATACCTAAACACCATGTGCACATACGCATATAGACAAACACACAAGGACACAAACACACATAGTCAGACATGCAATCACACAAGCAGACAGACACACACATTATTATTCTAAAGATTTTAATACCATAAATCAATACCTACAAACACATATCATCATTATGGCCACAGTCATCATAAAAATAGGCCGACGTCTTCCATTGAAGCCGGAGTACATCTGCCCGCGAGGCAGGGATCAGCTAAAGCCAGTAAAACGGTTGTACACGCAAAACTCAGGTCCAGGTAAAAGCCAAAAGTTCAAGCGGACGACTAACCTGGACCTACCGCCGGAATTCACAGCCGGTGAACGAAGAAGAAGAAGAATATCATCATTAACATATGCCACGCCTTAGGCGTTGACAGTCATAGTTTGTTATCTGAGTTTTTGTCCCAGTTATATTATAGGATCAATCACTTAGGTATTATTATCTTTGAATACCCTTGTCTTGGACTGCCAGAATAACCAACATGGATGCCTGGAAATGGCTAATTAAAGTAGAACATTACATACAACAATGAAAAGTAAACAAACAAAGTTTTTTGCTCATGTGATGAGAAAAGGAGCACAGGAAAATATCATGATGACTGAAAAGATCACTGGTTGAAGAGACAGTTGCATCCCAAGAGAAATTATGGTGGATGGCTTAAAACAGTGGCATGGAGGTATATCATTGGTGGAATTGTTCCAGAATTGCAAATACCGAGATCTCTGGCGACGCATGAATACCTACGCCAGCTGGCGAGGCGCTTGATGATGATGATGTCTATCAAGAACACAGTGTAAAGGAGTGAGGTGCCCCACTCTCCCTCAGATTATTCTTGTTTAAGTGCACAGAGTAATAATAAGAATTTTTATGTAGTTGTAATTTTTCAAAAATATCCGGTTAAACCCTTAGGGTTATAATTGGGATATATAGTGTTAACTGAGTTATCAGGATATATATATATATATATATATATATATATATATATATATATATATATATATATATATATATATATATATATATATATATTTAAAAAAAAAATTTATATATCTGGTAATTATTATATATGACTAAAAATTAATTTGTATTGTTTCAGATTTTGCTTTCATTTGGGGTGAGATTATGATAGAAACAGTCTTCTTCTTCTGCCTTTCTATCCCCCAATGGAGCATAGGCCCTCAACCAACTCACGCCAAGTCGTTCCATCCTTCGCCATTACATGGAGCTCTCCCCATGTCCTCCCAATCTTTCTAACCTCATTCTCCAGCTCTCTTCTCCATGTGTTTTTTGGCCTTCCTTTATTCCTATGCCCCTGTGGGTTCCAATGCAAAGACATTCTAGTTATGCTGTTCTCCTGTTTTCTCAGTGTGTGCCCTATCCAACGCCAGCGTCTTTTCCTCACCTCCTGATCCACTGGAGCCTGTTTAGTTCTCTCCCAAAGTTCTACATTAGTTATTCTATAGTGTTACTATGAATAATTAGACTATCATTGTGTCAGTAACATGATGGATATATAGTTTCCTTAGTGTGCAACCACTGATTATTCTCCTTGATTTTATCTTTAGGGGAAACTTCTTCAAAAGATACCATGGGCATTCTTTACCCTTCTATATATGGTGTAGCGGCTAGATGCTCGCGTGCGGATCGGAAGGTAGTGGGTTTGCTCTCTGGCAGAACCTGACTTCTTAAAAAAACTGACCATGACTCCCAGGTCGACCTAGCCTTCAGTGGGTACCGGGTGCAGTCCTGGGAAGTAACGGCGGCCGGCGTGATACTGACCACATCAACCATCTTGTGCCGAATGGTCTATAAAAATATAGGTCTAGCCCTAAATGCCCTATATGTATAAAGGCGGGGAAAAGGGACCTTTACTTTTATATATGGATTTTAGTCCTAGTAGTAAATTGGTTGACCTTGCCACGCAGCTCTCTGGGGCTGTTTATGTACAGCAAGTTTTTCATCCTCATAGGCAACTGACAGTGACTATTATTATGTGCCAAATGGCAAATAAATACAATAATATATTTAATATAACATGAAAGGAAAAAACAAAAACTTTAAAACAGAACTCATATACATGGTTTAGGAAGTCCTGTCAGCTCACTCCTAACAGATTATTTCTACTGAGCGAGCAGGGTGGGTGGGGGGGGGGGCAATTTCCTTCCCCTCCCCCTAAAAATCGTGTGCTGGTGGAAGGGGCTATTTCCCTTTCCATTCTTCTAAAAATTGTGGGGCTGGGGGGGGGGGGGGGGAGGACTCAAAGTGCCTCAGCCCCTAGGTTCCAGCACTCCTGATGGGCAGGGCAGATACTTACCATATCCAGCCAGGTAATAGTAAGGCAGCCTTGAACGAGAGGCATCAAACACCTGGACCAGCATGAAGATGATGTGTAGTCCCTCAATGAACATCCAGGCAAAAGCAGCCAGAAAGAAGAAGTGGAGAAACCCAGCAATAACAGAGCAGGCGATCTGAAAGTAAACAAGTAAAGTAAAGATCTCTTTTCACTCCTTAGGCGCATCGGGCATATGGGAAGAGCACCATATTTTGTTACAGACCAATCGGCACTAGGTTGGTAATGTGGTCAGCATTACACTGGCCTCTCTACTTCCCAAACGTCCACCCTGGTCTCATTTTAGGCTGGTTCGACCTGCGACGCCCCATACAATGATAAAAATCAATGCAGCCAGCTGTGGGTTTTGATCGCGGTAGGCGTCAGGCCCAGATGGTATCCCAGCTGAAGCCATCAGGGCCAACATAAACACATCAACAGAATTGCTACATTGATTATTCAGTAAAGTCTGGGAGACCGAAGAAATACCAGCAGTCTGGAGAGAAGGATATCTCGTGAAACTGCCCAAAAAAGGTGATCTACAGGAATGTGAAAACTATAGAGGAATTATGTTGCTGTCAGTTCCTGGAAAAATATTAAGTAGAATTATTTTGGAAAGATTAAAAGATGCTATTGATAAAATGCTAAGAGATGAGCAGGCAGGTTTTCGGTCAAACAGATCCTGTACTGATCAGATAGCCACATTACGTATTATAATAGAGCAAAGCATTGAACTGAACTCACCACTTTACATTGGATTTATAGACTATGAAAAAGCATTTGACAGCATAGATAGGGAATCTCTCTGGAAATTGATGGGGCACTATGGAATCCCACAGAAAATTATCAACTTAGTAAAGGCAACATATAAAGACATGAAATGTCGAGTTCTTCATGAGGGAAAGCTAACAGATGCATTTGAAATAAAAACAGGTGTGCGACAGGGATGTCTTTTGTCGCCTCTCTTATTTTTACTGGACTATGAAAACAGTAACTGCTAACACCAAGAATGGAATTCAGTGGACCCCTACAAAACAGCTTGATGATCTGGACTTCGCTGATGATATTGCTCTTCTGTCCCATTCACGGAATCAGATGCAAGATAAATTAAATATACTTAATGTGAGATCAAAGCAGCTTGGTCTGAAAATCCATAAAGGAAAGACAAAGATAATGAGAATAAATCAGGCAAATAGTAATGTGGTTTCTCTTAATGGCACCCCACTCCAAGACGTGGAGTCGTACACCTATTTAGGCAGTAATGTAGATAAAGATGGAGGAACTGATAGAGATATTAAAATAAGAATACAAAAGGCAAGAGGGGCTTTTATAGCACTAGGGAATTTGTGGAGGTCAAAAGAAATTAAAAGAAATACTAAACTAAAATTTTTTAATTCTAATGTCAAATCAGTACTATTGTATGGGGCGGAAACATGGAGAACAACCAAGGCAATTACTAATAAATTACAGACATTCATTAACTGGTGCCTGCGCAGAATAGAGGGAATAAAATGGTATGATAGAATAAATAATGTAGAACTTTGGGAGAGAACTAAACAGGCTCCAGTGGATCAGGAAGTGAGGAAAAGACGCTGGCGTTGGATAGGGCACACACTGAGAAAACAGGAGAACAGCATTACTAGAATGTCTTTGCATTTGAACCCACAGGGGCATAGGAATAAAGGAAGGCCAAAAAACACTTGGATAAGAGAGCTGGAGAACGAGGTTAGAAAGATTGGGAGGACATGGGGAGAGCTCCATGCAATGGCGAAGGATAGAACGACTTGGCGTGAGTTGGTTGAGGGCCTATGCTCCATTGGGGGATAGAAAGGCAGAAGAAGAAGACCTTGGGATTCGCAACGCCTAAGTCACAGTCGCCGCAACAGAAACTGTGCAACAGATTCATAGCAAATTCAAAATATCCTAAGCTGTAGATTAGGTCTTGAAGAACAAGAGAAATACTGACATCCTTAAAGATCTGAACATAAGGGAGGAATGGCTTGTAAACAGCATCTTGTCTCGGACACTGACATATTTACGCTGTATCAAGTACCACGGCAGATTAGAAGGAATAATAGCAGAAGGTAGTTTACCAGAAAAGAGGAGCATGGGCACAGGATATAAGTAAAGTTTTGAACAACAGATCAACGTCATGGCACACCGGTAGTAACTCATAAGTGCTCCGTTCTTCTTCTAACCCAAGTCTGAGTCTGAAGAAGCTCAGCACAGTGCACAGGCTCTGTAGCACCAGCGAGGATCCTGAAATACTTTGGGTAGATTTTTAACTCCAAATTTTGCCCGGGCAGCGCCGTTAGGCTACTCTGTTCTATATCCATCTGCAAGGGATTTTTGACGTGCGCAATAATGCACACGGGTGTCCGATCTCACTACCTAGAGACCAGGGGGAATTACTAGAAGACCAAGTCCACGTGAAAAGATCCCAGCCCTTACCGAGGATTGAACCCGGAACCTCTAGCACTCGAGGCGGTCACCATGCCTCGAGACAACGCAGCCCCCCACCCCAGGATATACATGACACATGGAATAGTAAAGTGTACGAGGCGTGAAAGCTGGCGAGAGACCAAGTTTCTGTCAGGCAGACCCTGATGAGAGTGACGTTCTGCAAAGGACCTGCTACATGATGATGATAGATTAGGTAAAAGTAACACATTTCTTGGTACGTGATTTAGGCTGGGGCGATCTGAAAACCTTCTTCTTCTTTGTGTACACCGACTTGAAACTCCAGTGAAAAGTTCTAGCTGTTCACCCACCTCCAGACTTTAGTCGTGTTCTGGAACCTGAGTGTTGCATACACTTCCGTTTTACACATCTGGCTTATTTGTATGCAGACTGTCGGTTCCTTGCCTCTCAGGCAGATGCACTCAAACTTCGAAGGAAGCCTCCAATTAGTCGACTCATACGACGTGCTTTTTGAGAAGGCAGTGGGTGGGTCTATTCTAGTTTTCCCTATGATGGTGTCCAGGAACCCACACGGAGAGCCATGGGAAACGATGTCATGACTGTTTTAAAAATCCACTGGGTAAGGAATTGAACTCAGTACTTTTGGGCTTGCAGGCGAGTGTCTGGCCACAGCACTACAACGGCACCCAATCTTCTTTTTTTTTTCCTTTGCGTTCACCAGCTGTAAACTCCGGCGGAAAATTCTGGTTGTTTGTTCACTTCTGGACTCCAGTCCTGTTCCAGAACCTGAGTGTTGTGTGTGCATCCGTTTTACAGATCTGACTCATTTGTAAACAGACTGCTGGTTCCTTGCCTTTCAGGCAGATGCACTCCGACTTCAAAGGAAGCTCCCAATACGTCGACTCTTACGACATGCTTTTGGGTAGGCAGTGGATCTATTCTTGTTTTCCCTATAATAGGGCCCCGGAACTCACACAGGGAGGCACCCTTTCTATAAGATGGTGCTCCCGTTATAACTAAATTATTCCGGTCCCAAACAACTTAACAAGTGGTGGGTTCTTCCCCTTGAAACCTATCCATTTAGTAATGTGTACTTTTATTTTTGTAAAAGTCGGCCTAACCTTTAATGGATACCACGTAAAGTCATGGGAAATAAAGGCGGCCATCGTGATGCTGACTACATCACCAAACAAGTGCCGATCAGTCTGTAAAATAAAGGTCTGGCCCTTTGCGATAAAAAGTCTAAAGGCGTGGAAAAATTACTTTTTTTTTTTTACTTTTAATTTTGACATTTGGTAGGACCATAATTAAGAAATCTGGCTTCTCCGTCGACCTCAAGCTCTGTTTTTTGCGATCTTCAAAAATAATCCCACGATGATTTTTTTTTTAAATACTGGTTATTTCTTCAACATTTCGAATGAGTCAGAGACTATCTCGCAAATCTCTCTCTCTCTCTCTCTCTCTCTCTCTCTCTCTCTCTCTCTCTCTCTCTCTCTCTCTCTCTCTCTCTCTCTGTCTCTCTCTCTCTGTCTCTCTCTCTCACACACACTCACTCACTCACTCACATGCACACACACACTCACTCACAAGCACACACAAACATATACACACAAATAGGGCTTTTGAACTTTTGCGAGGTTCCATTATAGTCTTAATTTTTGTAGTTAGATATGGACAGTGGTATTTTCTAACTTTATGCAACGGTACGCATTACTGGCACATAGGGACAAACAATGCTACCAACACCACACAGCATGGAGTATCGGAATGATTAGTTTGGCTATTTATGTTTCATAGTCCCGAGACCTAAGAAACAAAAAGGTGGGGACGTTTTAGTGCCTTTTGCAAATTTCTAAGGAGAATTGGCATGTGGCGGCGCAATGTGTTTAAGGTTCTCTCCCCCCCCCCCACCTCCTTCCCCCGTTCCAGCGCCCCTGAAATTAAGTAAACAGTGTAAATAGACTGGCAGTAAAGACACAGACAAAGAAGACATCCAGGTAGGCACATGCACTGACACACAACAACAGATTGTAACCCACTGATACTAAGATAGAGCCAGATATTAAATGTGTAGGTACCTGGTATCTGGCCTGGTCAATTCCACAGACGAATAGGATTTCTGCTATAAGGAGTGTCATTGCCAGATTTTTATGAATAGAGTTTCTTTCTCCTTGGAGAGCGCTGGAAAAGAAATTATGTGCATTGTGAATACATAAGTTATATGTATTTCTTTTACAATACTTTTTTTTTTCATGAATAACAAATATTTAATAATAACGCTACTGAGGCTGAGATACAGTCTGAATCCATGAAAAAAAAAAGGTAAGTGTAGACAATTATGTTGGAATTAAGATCCATGAAATTCTAGATATTTGCCCTTCACACTTTTCCGGTTCAATAAGATACAAATGCATTATTGTGTGTGTGTGTGTATGTGTGTGTGTGTGTGTGTGTGTGTGTGTGTGTGTCTAGGTATGAATGTACATCGTCTTTATGTTAATACGTTAGTCTATATGTCAATGTATGTGCTTGTACCTATGTGTCAATATATGATGTTTACCTGGGACTTAAGAGTTTATATGTATGTGTGTCTATGTATATATGTATATGTGTGCATTGCCGTAAGTGTATGTGTGGGTCAGCATATATCTAAGTGTTTGTCTGCATGAGTTTATGGGTGTGTCAATGTGCATCTATGTGTGTGTCTTAGTGTATCTGTCTGTGTGTGCGTCTACATATGTTTATGTGTGTATCTGCATGTATATCAAAGTGTGATTCCGTGTTGGTCTGCAATCCAGATTAAGACTTTTTACTCTCAGGATGGGATGATGAACCTTTAGATTGCAGGCTGGAGTGAGCTAACCGAACTATATCATAGCGTAATGATGTCTCTGATTGTAGTATATGTGCGAGTGTGTGTTTGTGTGGGAAATACTATTTCTCTGTGTGTTGTCCAATTAAAAGTTTTTTAACATGTTTCCGACTGCCAACAAAACCAAAGAACCCAAGGTAATTTAAAAAAAAAATCGTTTTCAAAGATAATCTGGCAACTGAGATAAGCTGTCCAGTGTTGCCACTTTGGATGTTTTACATCCAGATTTAGATGTTTTCCCTTGCATTTAGATGGCGTTTTTGACGTTTGGATGGTAGATGTCTTTCTAGATGTATTTATTTGGAGTGAATTTATCAAATCTAACCTAAGAAACAGGATGGAATTTGACCTTTAAATGCTATCTTGACAATAAAATTCGGCCTGATAAAAGTAGGAAAAGGCTGTTCAACTTATCAGTTCCCTGATTAGGTATTAAAAGAAATTGGAACATCTAAAGTATTCCAGAGTCATTTTGGATCTGAAGCTTCAACTTCATCATCCAAGCTAAGTTAATCCTGTGGATCTTTTAAGGCAGACTTTAGTAAAGATAAGGACATGATTCTATAGGGTAAGCCATATCAATTGCTATGTAATTTGTGACTCCTTCTATTTGGATGTTTTTTCTAGATGTTTTCCACACATATGTAGATGTTTTTAGATATACTTTTTTACTCCGTTTTGGATGTTTTTTGTTAAAGGAAAGTGGTAACACTGAAGCTGTCCTCACTTCCAAATCAAAGCCGGTCAGTCAAGCTGTAAATGAATCGGTCGCCCTGCCAGCATCACCAGGACAGTCTTTTTTAGTTCATGATTCCTGGCAAACATTTTTTAAACTCCTCAGTCTGAGTAAAGATGTGCTCCAAGATGTGCTTCATTGTGCAGTTTTCATGCGACAGGGGATGCAGCACACCAAGGATGATTTTGTCTGAGGAAAACTGCAGGCCAAATCAAAGAGTTCAAGAGCAAGAGCTGGCAACTCTCGGAAAGAAGAGGAGAATACCGCAGGTACCAGCGGTGGCAAAGGAGTCTCTTACTGAGTCATTTTTGGTAGCGCAGTGGCTAGACGCACGTCCTTCACCCTAAGTTTTGGGTCTGAATCTGCATCAAGTAGCTTTTCATTTTTCTAAACTGACCTTGGTTCCTAGCTTGACCCACCCTAAAATGGGAACTAGGTAATGTCATGGGAAGTAAAAGTAGACCTATGTTCCTATGGGTGATAAGGAGCCGAGGAAGAAAAGAAAAAAGAGGAGGAGGAGGGGAAGAAGAAAAACACAGACCGCTTCAACTTCGCGGCATTTATTAGTAACCTCTGTCGACCTCGAAATTCAGGTTTTTATAAGAAATATGGGTTCTTTATTAATATCTAACCCTCAGATGACGTCACATGACAGTCCACCATTTTAGAGGGTGGTAAGACTGGGTTTCCCGGCTTTCTGATCCTGTTAACCTCAACCCACCTACCTCTCACGAATGCATGCAGCCTAGGTCCCACGACTGCATGCAGCCTATCTACCACCCCCTGAAATATTAGATTGTCCCGTGACATGTTGACTTCCCCTGTTTGGGAAAATATTAGGATATTAACAAAGAACTGAAAAATTCTTTAGTTTGGGGGAAAAGGGGGGAGGGGAGGGTCAAATCTATGACCAACGAGTCAGCAGGCAAGCACGCAGTAGACCAGCTACCGAGACTCCCCAAAACAGCAAAACCTGACGGAAATGAATTAACATTCGGAGAGGCAAACTTTTCAACGAATGCTTCAGCTGCATATTTTCCGTGTTCATGAATCAGCAACAGAGGTAACATAGACCTATCATCTCATGTTGAAGCACGGATGGAGTCAAGTTACACCCCGGCAGCGATAGATGACAGTGTTCTAATCCTGCAATCTTGCTCGTGTCAAGAGCTGCGTGTAGCTGCATCTTAGCAGGAATTTGACATGCGCTTTATGTGCAGAACTGACAGTTTCTTCTCAAAAAGCACTAACTAGCGATAGGTAGAATTTCCGATGAAACTTGATAAACAGCAGGCAAATGCAAAGTCTGGGAAATAGAATGCCTGGTTGCCACTTAGAGGCATGCCAGATTTTTTCGCTGCTTCGCTCATATGGTGGTGTTTAATTTGATACGATCAATATCCGATACCAGCTTCGGTGATACATCGGCTTAGTCATACAACGCAACAGGTAAATTGTGTTTGGGTAATTTTGCAAGAATACACACTGCTGCGAAATTGTATTGGTAAAACAAAACTAAGTAACAACACCAGAAACACGCATTAAAAATTTTTTTCACATGCTCGGATAAATGAAGAGATGTATAGAAAGACAGATAGAGGAAAATAAGGCAAAGGAATTTAGACTACCGTTTGTCTTGGCAAAGAAAGGTTTAAGCACAGAAACCCATACATGATGTTGAAGATCAAAAGTTAGGGAAATATTATCGCCAGTGTCATTCGGAAAAGCTCTTGATAGCGAACATACAGTTTACTTATTCTGTGTTTTTTTTTTTTTGGGCACCCTTGCATCTTTCCAAGCGATAGTGTTATACTGTGCTATAGGGATGTTTAAGATTCACAGCCCATGGCGATGGCGAATGTCAATAATAAGAACTCTTCTAGATGATTCTATAATTTGAATGGGGATTTCAGAACCGTTGTTACTATCTCATCTTTTGCAAAAACTCGCTGTCATTTAATGTCAGAAAAAGGGTGCTAAAATGTTACATAGAACCTGTTCTGCTGTATGGCAGCGAATCTTCGCATGTCAGTAAACAAATTAAGAAGAATTTGGAAGCAACAGAGATGTTGTTTCTGAGACGAATGTTACGAATACCTTGGACGGCCAGAGTAACAACGATTACTTAAAAGAAGCTAATGAAAGTAGATCTCTATATACAGCAATAAGAAAGATACAAACACCGTTCTTTGGCGACATAATGAGAAGAGAGACATTAGAGAACATTGTGACAACTGGAAAGATTAGTGGAAAAAGAGGTAGAGGCAGACCAAGAGAGATGATGCTGGATGGGCTGAAACGATGGCATGGAGGGATATCATCAAGATAGCTGTTTCAGGCAACCAAGGATCGTGATCTGTAGAGACGCATGAGCGCCTACTCCAGTTGGCATGACATATATTGATGATGTTACCATCCCACATACTTAACGAGCACATAACCTATCGGAAATCATTTTCTGCTTTATCCTATTCACCTTTTTGATTTTCACACAGCACGCAACACGGTCCATGAATCCTGTCTCTACCATCCCACATACTTTCATTCATTCATTCAGTAGCATGTCCCTCGCGGAACCTCGCTGCCATAACAACCCTCCGGAAAACCTTCCTATCATGAGCAAGATGTCCTGCGTCTGATACACCCATCTGGAGATCATCTGCCACATCCTGCACCCATCTTCTCCTTGGCCTTCCTCTTCCTCTCTTCCCAGGCATATACCCCTCCATTATTGTTCTCTCTAGACCTCCATGACGTTTCAAGTGACCAAAATATTTCAATTTTCTTTGTTTTATTGTCTTTACTAGCCAACCCTCTTCAATATTCAGCTCTTGAAGTATGGATGCATTTGTTCTTTTCTTTACCCAAGATATTCTTAGAACCTGTCTGTAACATTTATATTCAAATGCATTTATGCGCTGTTCCGCTTGTTTAGTAAGTGTCCAGGTCTCACAGGCGTATGTTGCAATGGGAAAGATGCATGCTCTTAAAAATCTGACCTTTGTAATTCTATCTGTACAATTCCATAATTTATTCAGTTGTTTTAGTCTTTGAAGAGCAATTGATAGTCGCCGTTTAATTTCTTTCATTGTGTCACCATTGTTGGTAACCAGTGACCCAAGATATTCGAAATTTTCCACCACTTCCAATCTTTCCTCATTAACATATATTTCCTTCTCCATGGCAGTTTTGTTTGTATGCATTATCTTTGTTTTTGCTGTGTTAAGAAATAAGTTATGATTTTCACTATTTCTTTGGAGTGAGGTTAATAAGTTTTCTAAACCATTTTGTGATGTTGATAGTAATACTGTATCATCAGCATAACGAATTTCTGGTATTTCATGACCACCGATGTTTAGGGCATCATATTGTTCCTTGTTTATATCATCTCTTACATTTCTCATTATATTTTCGGCGTACAGGTTGAACAAATACGGTGACAGCACACATCCCTGACGGACTCCTTGCTTGATGCCAAACCAGTCTGATGTCTCTCCATCTATTCTGACTGCTGCTTGTTGGTCTTGATAGAGCATTTTAATGAGCTGCACTATATGTGATGGAAAGCCCATA